ATTCAACTGAGGGTTCTGTAAAAAGATTGGCGAGCTGATGATCCGTGTTAAAAAACTTTAGAGCACTATCACCTCATGCTATGTAGTCTCAAATAAAATGATGATGAATCTCGATATTCTTACTTATAGGGTGTTGAAAAGGATTTTCAATAAGATTATCACATTTGTGTTATCGCACATAACCGAGATATAATCTAATTTAAGTTTGTAGTCCTTAAGTTTGCCTAGTCCACAGTAGTTGTGCAACACAACTACATGCTGCGACATATTCTACTTCTACAATGGATAAAGCAACAAAATTATGCTTCCTAGCCCCAGAAATAAGAGAAAGTCAAAAGAACTAACAAATGTATAAGGTGGTCTTTCAATCAACTGTACACCTTGCATAGTCAACATTAGAGTACCCCACTAGCTCAAATGAAAGATGATTCATAAAATACCACAAATCTAGATTAGGTGCACCAATCACTATAGAAGTAGAATATGTCGCAGCATGCAATGCCATGTTGAATATAACAAGGCAAAATTCATTACAATAGAGTCAACGGGTGCCCACAAGCCTTTGTAGATATCTGTTAAATTACCGGGTGCCCATTAAGTATAAGGGTTCCTCTAAGGTTTTGATTTTTTATCATTTTTTAAATTTTATTTAAAAAAATAAACCATACATGATTACAAGTACTTATATAGATGGATCAGCATTCCTGAACGGCTTCTTGTGCACATAATCGATATTCAACTGAGGGTTCTGTAAAAAGATCGACGAGCTGATGATCCGTGTTAAAAAACTTTAGAGCACTATCACCTCATGCTATGTGGTCTCAAATAAAATGATGATGAATCTCGATATTCTTACTTATAGGGTGTTGAAAAGGATTTTCAATAAGATTATCGCATTAGTGTTATCGCGCATAACCGAGATATAATCTAATTTAAGTATGTAGTCCTTAAGTGTTCCTAGTCCATAGTAGTTGTGCAACACAACTACATGCTGCAACATATTCTACTTCTACAATGAATAAATCAACAAAATTATGCTTCCTACTTGCCCAAGAAATGAGAGAAAGCCAAAGAACTAACAGATGTATAAGGTGGTCTTTCAATCAACTGTGCACCTTGCATAGTCAACATTAGAGTACCCCACAAGCTCAAATGAAAACTGATTCTTAAAATACCACAAATCTAGATTAGGTGCACCAATCAGGTATCTAAAAATCTTTTTTACAACAATCAAATGTGACTCTTAAGGGCTTAAGGGCCAACCTGAAATCTAACATAGAGTCTTACAACAAATACCATGTCAAGTCAACTAGAAATTAAGAACAACAATTAACTCATCACCCCTCTATAAAGCTTAAAATCTACTGACTTCCCACTAACTTAGCTGATGGGCTCATGTGTGTACCTATAAATTTGAAACCCTTCATATTGAACCTTACAATTAAATCATTAATGTAATTGGATTGCGACAAAAAACAATTCTATCATCTCTTTGCTTCATTTATAATCCAAGAAAATAGTAAAATCTCCCATCAAATTTATCTCAAACTCTTTACTCATTGTATGTGCAAAATCATGAACTAAGGATTATTTTATGGCTCCATAAATCTGAGTAACAATCATATCATCTACAATTTCTTATAAATAATATAGTGTCCATCTTTTCTTTGCTAAAACCTAAGCAAACAAAAATGAGTTAAATATCTCATACCAACCCCTAGGAATTTTCTTTAATCCATTGAGAGCTTTATTTAATTTAACAAATGATCAGGATGTAAATGATCTATAAAACCTGATGGTTATTCTACAAAGACATTCTCTTCTATAATTTCATTTAGGAAGACACTCTTTATATCCACCTGATATAATTTGGATCCTTTATAATATGGATGGGTCCCCTATGACGAGCACCTTAGGATGCCTAGATGAATACTTCCACTCTTTAGGTGAATCAGATATATGATTTTTACCTTGGTAGCTAGTGGTGGTTATAAACTTAGGTTCTTTAACATATCAATCTCTTCACCATTCATGTCCTTCATTCTTTATAAATATAAATTTTTCTCATCAAATATTATATAAATAGACTCTTCAACAATTAGGTTCTTATAAAAGATCCTATAAGCTTGCTAAGATTTAAATATCCCAAAAAACCTCTTTCATCAAATCTTATATCAATTTAGTTGAAGCTCTCTCTCATTTTTCAAAATGAAGCAGCTAAAAAACTAAAAATATGAAATTATGACATATTAGACTTCTTGATCTTCAAAATCTCACAAGGGATCCAATTCAATTTACAATTATATATAATGAGAATTTAAATTTGCATGCTCCTTTTTAATGAATAATATTTCTTCTTTAAATTAAATAAATCATTCATAACAATAAGAGTATCATGAATATCATCATATGACATCATTTACCTCATCCGTGTGGTCATCAACAACCATGAAGTAAATGTTGACCCCTTTTTTATGAGAAGGCTCAGTGGATGTTTCTTCCCTCTTTAAATCTGTCCAAGTCATTTTGAATGCATTCTTGTCATTTTTGGATGTAGACTTATCTTTGATCTCATTTTCATGGGGCACTTATATTTGAACTGTCTGGCTTATTACATTTGAAACACATTGTACTGTCTTTTCACCTGCAACGTTAGTTTTTATTTGTTTTGAAATTTTTATTTGATATTTTATATTTCTCCCTGCAAAAGTTTCTTCTGAATATTTTTCCAAACTAGCAAATCTGTAAAGCCAACTAGTCATCATCACTTGTAAAACATTTTCACTTATGTCAAGATATTTGAGCGCCATGTTCTTCGATTTTTTCTCCAGGTCTTCCTCTTCATTATTTCTTGAACTGGCTTTTTGATGGTTATCTTAGGATCTAAAACTTTTGGTAAAAAGCATAGGATCTTGTTTACTTGTTCCCGGTATACCTTCCCAAGTGCATGAGGCTATTGACTATTTTGGTGAAACGTCCAAACATTTTTGTGAAGGTTTCTCCTAGTATTCATTTGAAAAAAATTCATACTCTTGCATTAAAATTTTAACAAATGCCAAGCGTATCTTGTTGATGCTTTCATACGTGATGATTAACTTGTCCCAAATTTCTTTTGCACGTTCTCAAGTTATAAAGCTCCGTGTAATCATTATATTTAAGGGCTTATGTTTTGGAAGTCTCAAATACTGTTAAGAGTTAAAAGTCTACATAAGAGTAATTTATTTTTATTTATAAGTTCAAGTTTACATCGAATTTTTATTATTTGTTGTTCAACTAAATATTTTTGAATGTGCATCTTTTTCTCTATCAACCATTTTATTTTTTCCGCTGAGTCTCAATATTGACAAAAATCAAATAAAATTGAATCTGATTGAAACCAAATAAATGATTTTATTTTAGAATATGATATTTGGTTTAAATTTTTGTAGAATCAACATTAAAGATTTGGTTTACAAAAATGACAAGCCTAGTGAATCGAACCATGCTTATTCCTTTTTTCTTCTAATTTCCCTGCTGATGTATTTATTAGGCTTATTTCTAACATTAAAGATAAATTTGCCTTATCAAGGAACATTCGAATTTTAAAAATTTCCTGTTGATTCTTTTACATGAGGGATTTCTATCATAGTTATTAAGTCCATAAGTCCCATCTTGCTTGCTATATATATATATTTATTTGGATGCTAAAAGAATAATTTCAAATGAAGTAATATTTCAAAAAATATTGAGCAAAAATTATCGTAAAAAGCCAGGCATCCATTAGATGATACACAGATGGAGCTGTAAAAGCTAAAACTTAAACTTTCGAATGGAAACATCAATCTAAATCCTCTGGAGGAGATTTTTTTGTACCTTGAGGGAGTTGATTTAGCATGGCCCTTCAAATAGGCCAAATCAATCCACAAAAGCCAAATTGGCCAAAGGTAAATTACTAGAAGTCAAACTAGGCCAAAAAAAATTTAGACCCATTTTTCAGTCGTTTTACACCATTTTTTAATTATGATAAAAATCTTCATAATATTCTAATTTTAATTATTTATTAAGATTTATCTTCTCTTTGGTAATAATAGATTTGAATTGCATTTAAAAGTTTGTTCTTATCCATATAACTATATTTCTATAAATAGAGGTATAAGATGTGTATTTTGATAACTGAATGAATGAAATAATTTTCCCCGTCATCAGAACAAGTCACAAAATTCAACATTGAGTAACAGACAAGAATAATTAATAAGAGGAATCTTGACTATAGCATAAATGATAACAAACACCCCATGCTAGGGTCAAAATTTATAATATCTTTTGACATTGACTGATGGGTTGAAATAATAGTTGGAACATTCTTCATCAGGATATTAGAAATTGGTAATACGATGCAAAACTTAGTTAGGAAAATAGTACATACAGGATAGTACCTTTTATCAGCAAATATCATCATTCCATAGTCTGCTTTTGAGCGAATTACACGGCCAACACATTGAGCGGCTTGCCTCTGCCAAATTTTGTCGAAGAGCATTATAAGGCTTTTCAAAGAATAAACTAGAAAAAAGGCCTCATGTAGAAAGCCCAGCATAAGATCATATGAATCAAGATAAAAATTAAGTACCAAAGCATCGAATGTCAGGAAATCACCCTCCTTTATTTGAAATGTGTCACGCAAATACTCTAACCGAGCAATCAGGATTCTTGAAAGAGAATGCAACAATAAGAGAAGTGTGAATAATAAAATAAAATTAGAATAAACACATAAGCATTCAGGAGCATCTTACGTTAAGGTTTCGTTTGGGACGACTTTCTTACTTCTTTTTAAAGCAGCTTTCTAGTAAAAAACTATAATTTTTGTACTAAAAAGCAGCTTTAAGAAGCAGTAAGAAAGCCGTCCCAAACGAAGCCTAAATTATCATGAAAAATATAAACTTCTCCTTTATCGAAATTATAATTGGATATGAATGTAAACAATTAATGAGGCGTAAGAAGGATTAATGGTGCATACCTGCTAAGAGTATATTGGAAAGGGACACCAAACATGATCACAAGTCTACCATAATGTTTATCAAAATCAATGCCTTCGGCCACTTTACCCCTGCGAAGATTTGAGAAGTGAGTCCAATAGTTGAGTTTCTAGACCATAAGAAGGAAATTCTTTGTCGATACTAAATAGTATGAGTGGGTGAATCCAGTATGTGTAAGTTTATCAAAATGCATGGCAAGTTTATCAACTTAAATTTTTAGAAATAGGCTAGCTTTTTCTTCGAACCTTGATCAAGCAACTTTGTAGACTATTATAAATAGTCTAGTTATAAATAGCAATATTAATTGTGTTATAAACTAAATCCTTCTTCCACTATTGATATAAAACCTTACTAAATAACCAGGAAAACCAATGTACGAAACCGACAATACATGAGAATTATCAACACAAAGTAACCAAGAATGTAATTACGAGAGATAATTAGGCAATCTGAACTTGGAGAAATGTGAAGATTGAAAACAGTGGAATTTACAGGCAGCTTATAAGGCTAGTTGTGATGATGAAGCACGGGAGCAAGGATCTTGATTGCAGCAGCAGCACTGCAAAACCCGTTGCTATTTCAGTTTTTAAACAACAGAGCAGTGGCATCTAAAGTCAAACCCAAGGATTAGCTGACTGTTTGTAGATGGAATTAGGAATATATTTGGATGCGTGGATTAGAAAGGTGCAAGGCTTAAGAGGGGTGGAAGCAGATCCTTTTCTGCATTAAAGGTGTGGAGGTTGACCTCCTGCAGCAGGCTGAAGATGCGCTCACGCTGCAAAGAGAAGGTGCATGACCTGCTTTGGGCTCTCCCGAGGTGGAAGAATCAGTCCTCACCCAAGGAAGAAGAGTAGACTGAACGCGTGCATATGGTGACTTTTGATCTAAGTAAATTCTCCTAAGGTGCCGAGAACTCTCTTCCAAAGTTAAAAGATGAGAAACTCACCAAGAAGATAGGAAACCTAGCATAGCAGGTCGTCATGACAACCTCATCTGATGACAAAGCTCAGCAAACACAATGGCAATCTCATAACTGATATTATGCTCGACAAAAAGTGAAAGCACGAAGGGCAACACTAATACAGAAGCCAGTAAAAGTGGTATAAGGTCCGCTTGGGAAACAATTAGCAGGAAGCGTGGGGGGCTTAAAAGTGCCACAATAAGGTAACTAAAGGAAATCTGGATGTGTATACACATCACAAGCATAAAAAGTAAATTTTATCAGAGTAAGCTAGATCTTTCTTTTGGATGATTTCTATTCTTGTTATTGCAATTAATTCTCTTAGTGGCAAGTGTGTGTGCCTGATTGAAATTTTATCGAATGTAATATATGTTGAATGCCTTTCCATAGTAAATCTTGATCAATGAAGGCATTTTATAAATGTTGACTATTTTCAAGAAGAAATTAAGATTTTCGAAACTATGAAACAATTTTATTGTCTTTTCAAATAAAATATTAAAATTAACTAACTTTTAATGAAATTAAGAGTCAATAACTTGTAGAATATAATTTGTGTATTTTCATTTTATACCTCCTCTAGGAATCATGTCACACATAAGTGGGGCAAATCATCAAGGTAAGTTAAGAGATCGTCATAAGGATGATATTTTACTGGGATAGCAAAACCAAATAAGAGAGTTATTAGCAAAACATGATCAACCAAGCACAATAATAAAAAAAAAATAGCAAGTGACCTGACATATTGAATATGAACAGCTTATGCATGAAAATATTCACAGGAAACTAATGATTAATTATGGTCATTGTAAAGTTTTTGATATATTCTCCAGTTCCTCCAAAGGGAAGACAACCTTTGGGTTTTCTTTCTCAAAGAGATTTTAACGATATCTTCTTATTACTTCCAACAAAGGATAATCTTTGGGTTTACTCCTTTAAGAAGAGATTTTTAACAGTATGCTCTTGCAATTCCAAAAGGAATGATTTATCTTTGTTACAACCATGAAGGAACGCCACTTAGGGGTTGTTTGGTTTGCTGCATTTAGGGTGTAGAGTTATCCAAATGCAGGGGTTTTAATAATTTGGGTAGTTGGCTAGTTGAAAAATAAATTCAAGGTTAAAAAAAAAAAAAAAAACAAATGCAGTGTATTCCATTCTAGTTCATTTTTAGTGTATTTGGAATTCTTCCGATTTGGGCGATTTTCAAATACACCGCAAACTCAAGTGCATTTGCCACCCCTTGCTGGACACCTCCGCCCTCCGGCAACCACCGTCTACCACCGCTGCCGCCTTACAGACATTTCCACCACCACCGGCCACCACCTCCTACCCCGCCAGCCGTCGCCACCGTTATTCACTTTACATTGCAATCACTTTACTTCAAACCAAACAAAAAAAAAGTTCTGTCATCCTAAACCCCCTTTACATTTATTCAAACAACTTCAAAATATTTCTTTTACACTGTATTTCTTTTTCAAGCAGCCAAACAACCCCTAAGTGATAAACATCAGGAGTTCATATCAATCTTATCCAAAGATTCTAGTTGTTTCTAGTTTCTACTAATTGGATATTTTGTCACATATTTCATTTGTTCAAAAAGCTAATTCTATCTCCCAACGAAATATTTTGGCAGAGATTTCTTTTGTTCTGAAATCTTTGAGAAACTAAAACCATTTTCTTCCAACAGGATGTTTTCACATGGAATCATTGAGAACATAATTTAGTCTTCTCCCAACAAAATATTTTGGCAAGAATTTCTTTTCTTCAAGAATATTTTAGAAGCTAATTTTATTTCTTCCAAAGGATTGTTTCGCGAGAAATCCTTGAAAAGTATATCCAATTGTATCCCAATGGAACATTTGATCATTGATTTGGTCAAATGGCTGTGTTCGAACTATCAAAACCTATAGTCAATATTTTATTTAGTTTTAAATCATATTGTTGTGATTCCATGATGGTGTAAAACTTTATTAACTAACTCTAGAATTGATACTCCTGAGATCTTCATTATATAGTAAGACCCTTTTCTTCAAGATTGTGAGCAGAAATATAAGATAGTTTTCATATATAAATTTATATTTTAAATACGAAGATCAAATATTTGTCTAATTCTTCAATCCCATCAGAGTTGCCACTAAGGGTGTAAATGAGTCAAGCCAAGCTCAAGTGACCCTTGATTAGTAAATTGATTAATTAATCGTGTAAGAGCTCGAGCTTGACTAATTAATCGAGTCAGAGCTCAAGCTTGATTAATTAATCAAGTTCAAGTTTGAGCTCAAACTTTATTCTACGAGTTCGAACTGCCTCAAACTTTTAATAAAATCTTACATGAATTTATATAATAGAATTTTTACTCTCTCTCTCTCTCTCTCTCTCTCTCTATATATATATATATATATATATATAATTTTAATATTAATCATTTTAATTTAAAAATTAATGAAGAACTTATAATCTAATTATTGATGTTTTTAACGGATATTTTAAATTTTCTATTAAAAAATAAAAATGAATTCTATTATTTTAAAATATATTTATCTCATAATGACTCAATATTTCATGATTAAAATCTCATCAATTTCATTTCTTTTTCTTTCTATTTAAAATATTAACATTGATTAACAATAATGACTTAAATTTTCTAAAATAAACAATAAATAAATTCCTTAAAACTAACCTTCCCCTTCTTCAATTGCCCGATGAGCCTTAGCCTTCGCCTATGCTTGATGCAATCCAACTGAAATAGGAAAATACTAGGTCAAACCACCATGTGTCTGAACACAAGTAACAACTCCTACATACATATCCTTAATGACTTGAATATAAGCATTATTAACCATTTCTTTTCTAGAACTCTCCATAGCACTACTCTTGGAACATTATCAAATGCTTTCTCTAAATCAATAAATATCATATGTAGATCCTCCTTATTCTCTCCATACTTCTCCATCAAACCTCTCAATAAATGTATAGCTTCCATAGTAGACCTACCAGACATGAATCAAAATTGATTTTGAGAAACGTTAGTATCACACCACAACCTATGCTCCATAACTCTCTCACATATTTTTAAAGTACAACACATAAACTTAATTCCTCTATAATTTGCACAATCTTGTGCATCACCTTTATTCTTAAAAATATGAACCAACACACTCATTCTCCACTCATCTGTCATCTTTTAGTCTTCAAAATAATATTTAAAAGTTTAGTAAGCCAAGAAATGCATTCATCTCCTAAGCATTTCCACACTTCTATTGGAATATCATTAGGTCCAACAGTTTTTCCACACTTCAGTTTCTTTAAAGCTTCTCTAACTTTGATTTTACTAATACGCCGATAAAAATAAAAATCTTTATTTTCATTTAGGGTGTTAAGGTCACTAAAGTCAATCGTATTCTTATAATCTTCATTAAACAGTTTATAAAAACATCTCATCTACCTTTGTTGAATATTCTCTTCTAATAAAAACACTTTTTGATCTTCATCTTTAATACACTTCACTTGAACTAAATCATTGCTACTCTTACATCTTTGTTTGGCTAACTTATACATATATCTTTCGTCATTCTTAACATCTAATCTATTATATAAATTATTAAAATCTAAAATCTTTGTATCGCATATTACTTTCTTAAACTCCTTATAGGCATCTTTATATCTTTCCTAATTATCAAAATTTTTATAGCTAAACCAATTTTTATTACAAATCTTCTCATTTTTTATCTTTACTTACACATGATCTCACCACCAACTATTTTTACTTTTAGTATTGTTTCCCTTTAATACTCCAAACACATATTTTGCAACATTCATAATATCACTAGCTACTTTTTGTCACATAACATTAGCTTCCTCAAGAACAAACAAAATCTTAAAATTTAGAATCTTACTCTCAAAAATATTTTTATTAATATTCTTTAATTTCCCCCATATAATCCCAAAACAACGATTTACTTTATGTTTTATTTTCTGCCCGTTCATCTTATAGTCTAAAACTAATAAACGATGTTGTGTACATAAGCTTTTATTCGGAATAACTTTATATTCTTTGCAATTTAAATGATCTATTATTCTTTAAAGAAAATAATCAATCTGAATTTTACTATATCCATTCTTATAAGTGATGAGATACTCATCTCTTTTCTTAAATAAAGTATTAGCCATTGTTTAAAATTGCATAATATGAGGCTCATCTTAAGGCCCGCCTTAGCGCAATTCTATTAAAAAATGCCTTGAGGCTTACGCCTTTAGCTTTTTTATGAGCCCAGAGTGGTTGAGGCCCGCCTCACGTCGCTAGCGTGAGAGTATTAACAATTACAAAATCCTAAGCTAAAGAAAAATCTAATATGATCTTACCACATTCATTAGTTGCTTAAAATCCACAGCCATCACGAATGCTGTTAAAATAATTTATCTTTCTGCCAACATGTCCATTTAATTCTCCTCTAATAAAACTTCTTTTTTAAGAGGTATCTTTTGTATTAATTCTTCTAAATCATTTTAAAATTTTAATTTTGAACACATATACAAACCTACCTGAGGAGCATAAGCGCTTATAATATTAATAATTTTAACATCAACAATAATCTTTAAAGCTATAATTCTATCTCTAATTCTATTAATTTTTACAACACTATACTTCGAACTCTTATTTATAATCACATCTACATCATTTCTAGTACGGCTCTTACCAGAATATCATAATTTAAATACTAAACTATCAACCTCCTTAGCCTTCTCTCCAGACCATTTAGTTTCCTGAATGCATAAAATGTTTATTTTCTAATGAATCATAATATATATTAATTATATTAATTTACCTGTAAGGGTAATTATATTCCAAGTTCCTGTCATAGTTTTAGTTTCATGGGCAAACTTCTTTGCCCACATCCATCCATGATGTGGGAACCCTTGCCTGTTTAATACTGCACTCGGGCAAATAATTGAAATACAAGGAAGAAAAAATGTCGAGAGTTATCATCCAATGACAATAATTTGAGAGAATTGGTTTTGTTTCATTCCAACATTTATGTAGCATTTATACAATTCTAGAAAAGCTTCTAAGACGAAACATACAAAATAAGAGAATAATAACTATATGTTACACAAGGCATTGAATTGATGACTAAAATAAAAATCCCACGTATTAATGAGATGACAGCAGAAGAAGAATCAAAGAGAGTAGAAGTCTTGGCAAGTGCAAGTCCTAACTAGCAAAAATTATGTACCTATTTCATAAAGCATAAATCCCATTTCCTTATGAAGTCGCCCATATGCCGATTAACTAACTCAATCTAATCATAGGTTAATGTTATTTAGACGTTTTCGATAAGGATTTCTCATAATGTCTGATGAATTGAACATCATGAACATAAACTAGCAAAAGGTAGTTCAAGGATATGAACTGTAACACCCCACAATAGAACTACACTGTACTGCAGAGTGCAACAATAATAATCATAATATTTCCATCATTTACCTCTCAGTTCTGTTGAATTCATTTCAGATCTAAATAAAAGATCATATAACATCATTTGAAATAATAAATGAAGCATCTAATAATTCCCCAAATTTCATCACATCAAAGACTTTGTACAGAGCCACTAAGGAAATCCAAAACAATTCATAGTAACACTACATTAAAACTTCTTTACTAACCTTAAGAGTAGATTACAACATTTAAATAAACATTTACATAAAACTTAAATACTTGCATATCAAACTTCTTCCACTTTTCCTTTTCTTTTTCCTGTAAAAATAGCCAGCAAAAGGTAACTGGTAAGCTATGAGGCCCAATAAATTATGTAATTTAAATAACAGTTATAATATAAGAAGAGGATAAATAAAAATCTTGAAGTCATAAAGCATTAAACTCACCTTTAATGATAACAACATAAAAAATCTTAATTACATTATTTCTTACTTTTTTTCGAAGTTACACTTAATATCAAATTAAATAGGTAAAAGGCTTGGATATAAATTCATAATAATATTCAATAGAGCTCAGGTATACCTGGCATTATCGTCATTGAATTACATTGAGGTCCCTTTTGCCTCATTAGGGGTCCCTTTTGCCCCACTTGCTTTGCAGGTATCTTTTTTTTTGGTCCCTTTTGCCCCACCTGCAATACAGGTTTAGTATTTGGGTCCATTTTGCCCACCTGATATTGCAGACATTATATCATAAAATAGACAATATTTACTTTTAACTTGATATTCCATACTTCATACTTCCATAATTTATAACTGATTTCACTTATTATAACCTTTCAATCAATCATACGTTTTTGTGTAGTAAGATTGTGATACACATTAAATTGAGAAGAAAACTTCTTTGCATAGTATTATCAATTAAAAAAAAGATTTAAATAATCGCACTTAGATATCTATCAAATCTCTCTTATTCTCATGTACAAACAATTATGAATACTCCAAACTATTCTCATAATGACTAACAAAATTCTCATAATATATTTCATTTAATAAATGAAAAGACATAAGGAATTTATCAAACATTCTTGATCAATAATTACATAACTTACCTTCTTGACGAGTGGTCCCTTCCAAACCTACACCCCGCAACTTTCTCCTTTGATAAACAATTTCAGATTCTCCTCTCTACATTATAAGTCTGATACATCAAGATATAAGAATTATAATACATTCCTATAAACTTTATTGATTTTATATTCTAGAAAAGATAATGAATCACTATCATTACCCTTCTTTCCAAAATTCCTTTTCTCTAACTAGATCTATTCTTCTTTTAGATCCTTCTTCCAAATCCTTCGAAACCCTATTGTTCCCTGTTTATAAATTAGATAGCACACTTATCACATTAATCATATTTGAAACTTAGCAAATCTTTCTACAATTAGTTAAGTTTACATACCTAAATGTATCTTCCCACAAGCACTTCCCTACAACCAAAGAATCTGAATCTGTTTCTACCAATATCTCTTCCAAGTAATAATGTTGAATTCCTTTCTTCCAGCAACCGAACCTTCACTTTAATATTGTGCTGAATGCCTCCTTATTTGCTCTTGTAATGCTGAAGGAAATCTGCCCTAGCCAACTCCTTCCAGCCGCACACCCTCCTTGGCAACGGTTCAATTTCTTTTCCTGTACTAGCTGCCCAAGTCCACTAGTATTTCTCTGTTGCATGCAGTTTTCTCCGATCTCCAGCAATGCCCCTAGCGTGCTCTTTCTGCTCTCTGCCTCCTTGCCGAGCGAACACAGGAGTAGGAGAAGAAGAATACGATTTATCCAAATGTGGGCCCCAATGAGTCTCTAACCGCCCTCTTATCATAATACCTTTTCCAAAAGCTTCCATTACACACATCCATTCAGATTTTTAGTTTAATTAATCAAATAATTATTTAAACTAACACATTAATTTTTATAATACTTTATTATTAAACTGTACCTGAAATTTCGGTTCTTACATGAACTGCTTCTTTAAAGAATAATTTTTAAATATGAAGCATCTTAGTTTTGAAACAAGAATAAAGTGGGTCACTTTTGAGAACTTCCATGCTTTTGAGAAGATAGAAATTCCATTGTTATTCTTAAAAAAATCACCAGGCTTCCTAGGGAACTAGTAAAAATCAGATTAGTCTCAAATTATTTTTCAGATAATTCCTTCAACAAGAAATCCAAGACTAAATTCCTTCAAGAGATAAAGCACGTAAAAAAAGCCACACAAAATAGAAATATCCGAAGCAATACTATTAAGTAGTTAAGTAATAATAATTTCTCCACAGGTTCCAATTCAACATTTTTAGCAATTAGCAGAATTTAAAAAAAATACCTGGCTATAGAAAAGAAAACAGCACCTCTACCACAATCACATGCCCTTCGGTAGTTATCAAGAGCTAAAGTAGTCTCCACTACATCCTGAGTTTCAATAAATACAAGCTTATGCTGCATGATATCCTGCAGAGAATACTCACTATCACTGGACCAAAACATAAAGTTAAGGAAAATAAGCAAAAGACCTAATCAAACTTTTGAAAATATATTTGTAACAAATTAACGAACCAGTCATGCTATGCATATTAGACACGATAAAAATTACAGAGTGACGGGATTCAAGGAAGAGAGTTTCTTCATCTTTGTATGTCTGTCTACCTTTTTCCGTTACTAAAGGGTAGTTTTTTTTTCATGCTGAATCCATATTACACCTTGTCCATCCATGAAATTTCCTCGATGTGGCGGCTCATGAATCATTATCCCTTTTGATTTACTTTTTTTGTGGATTATACACAAGTCACAAATAATAATCAGTTTTATATCTAGTCATGAAAATTGTATCACATTTGCAAACAATTTAGGTACTTTACATAAAATAATGGGATAAGGAATTAATTACTAAGAAATGCATATTAAAAGTATGATTCAAAGAACATCCCATAAAACATAATTTCATAACATTGAATCTCCAAAAATGAATAATTAAGGGAAAAAATTATGCAAAAATAAAAATGAAAAAGGACTATCCATTAAAGTGCTCAACTTAATAATATATGATAATCATTAACGGGTCAAATGAGAATAACAATAATTAATCATCAAACTTCTCTTGTTATTTATTTATGTCATCTACGTAGCTAAGAACAACATTGAAGAAGCATATTCACGTGCAAAAACTAAAGCAAATTGAGGACTATATAGCTGAACCGTATGTAGTACATATTATGATGATTATGATTAAAATATGCACAAGCAAGAAAACCCAAAAGAAAAAACGATTTCCTCAAGTTTATAACTCCATATAAAAAAAGTAGTCACCTAATACTAAGATTGTTACCTGTAAAATGCCCATTTCGTTCCAACTGTTCACAATGCCATCCATATAGGAGTAACTAACAAAGAAACAGACAATGCCATCTGGGACGGCAGCAACCATTTCCAATAAGAGCCGTCCGTAGTTCCTCACAACACCAGGATCACTGCGCATATCAAATTTCGTACTCACTGGTAACTGGTCACTGACAAAAATAAGAATGCTTTAGGCATGCTGTACAGCATCAAAACACTTAATCAAGTAATTCTTGAGAAGGTTCAAAGTAGATAAAGCAGAAGAACTACGGATTCTGTAAATGTCAACTTAAAACAATGAAAATTTATGCAAAAGCAAAAGCATGAAAAACCATGATTCTATGTAAATGGATTAATTAAAAGCATGATAACAAGTTGAATTCAGATGATTTGCAATCGTACCTCCCTCGTGTTAGAACCATCGGACATATACAATCACGGGTCAAGGACATTGTAAAACTCCGACTTATGACAGGATTAAAATTCAAAAGTCGAGGATAGAGATCAATAGGGCTTAAAGTTCCAGATGTAATTATAACTGACTGGAAACGATCAAATACAGGCTTTATGGCAAGTGATGCGTCATGACAACTAAGCTGTGCACAAAATAACATGGTAGTGGTTAGTTAATCATGAATTTGATAATATATTGCATTATCAGCATAATTAAACAGATGAGAGGAAAACCTGTAAGATAGGGTCTGGTATGTGAGGCATTCTCTCATCAAAAGGTTCAATAATTATAGAAAAACCCCTTGTATATGTACCAACCAAAGTTGCAAAATCACAAACAGTTTGAATGTGTAGAAACTCATCTGTCTCAGTAATTTCAAGAGTAAGCATTAGCGAATACAGCCTGTCATAGCAGAATTTCAGCATTTTCTGATCAATTCCAGCTTGTGCATTTATTGAAGCAACAAAAGCGACAGGTACTTCTGTCTCCACGCTCTCAACTTGCAAACGACCCTTCAAATATTGCACCAGCCTTCTTAAGACAGCTAAAAAATGCTCTGCTCTTCGAATATTTCCAGGCACGGCCTCCTTTAAAATATCATCAGGCAAGGCAGGATTTGCAAGCCAAGTATCAGTCACTGAAATCAATAAAATGAAATAATGGCGCCATATGGTTTGTGGAAAAAGAGGTTAAAGATTTGTTAAAAATTTGCATACTAGGTAGGTTTCCTCTTTGTGCCAAACCTTCAACCAGCCTGTTGTACTCTTCCCGCAACCGACCAGCATCCGTGGCCTTGAACCTTTCTAACAAAGCAACAAATAAGCAATTAATAATCAGATTTCATATGCAAGTGAAAACAATTCAGTTTCATATAGACAACAATAAAGTAGTCGGCCAAATTGCATTTTCCACGCAAGTCTTCAAGTTAAGTAAACAAATTACAAAGACATTACTAAATACTTGCCATTTTGATCATAACCAACTGAAAAGGCCATCACTGCCAAAAAAGAGAGTTGAAAACTAAGAAAAGGAATTAATCTCATGAATCTAACTACCCAAAAGTTATGGACTTTAAGGATCAGAATGGATGTTAGCCTCTCTGAAAGAGATATCTAAAAAATAATTTGTAAGAACAAAATGCCTGTGAGAAACAAAGGTTAGAAATAAGCAAAAAAATCCAAATATCACTGCACATGGTAGCTGGTATGATTCAACGTAATTGACATTTGCAAGCAATGTTTATAAGAACAGGACTAACTCTAAGATAAGGATAGACCGTATGGCAAGTTTATGCCTTTTAGGCTAATTAATGTGCTAAAGACGTTTAAGACTTAAGAGAATGATGACATATCGTTCATCATTTCATAGGAAGACTTTCTTGGTGTCTGTAGTCTTGGTGTCGGTTTTGATGATTTTATTATAAACAGTAGACTAGATAGAACAAGGTCAATCACCATAGGAAGGTGCCCAAGGTTGGTCTTTGAGAAACTCTTTATTAAATTGAAGAGATGCATGCTTACTACTCTTAGTGGTCATCTTGATTACAACATACAAAATATAGGCGTTTTAGCTAAACCTATGAAGTTTATAGCTATTCGAAAAATGGCCTCATCTAACCAATATTCATTAAGCTAGGTGTTTGAAGTTTGCTAGCTTCTATAGGACTTCTATTAAAAAACTTAGAATTCTTATGGCTTGCATCACAAATGGCCATAAGAAAAAGTATTTTTGTAGAGAATCGATCCACTTTTGACCATGTTCTTCATCCGTCTAGAATGAAAACTTGATTTCCCACATATTGCTAAAGGCTGGTCTACGATTTGCAACAACTTAATTTGAATGAGAGAATATATATATATATATATATATATATATATATATAATTAGAATGTTTGACTTGTAGAAGTCGTCTGCCGAGCTAAAACGAAGTCGTTGGCTGGGTGCGCATAGGCGGGCGAGTAGTCAAATAGC